AGAAGTGGCCGGCTGGGGTGTGTGAAAAGTATGCGTGTGTGTGTGTGTGTGTATGTGTGTGTGAGGGGAAGCCTATCCCCGTGATGAGGTTCGGCTGGACAGCCTTACATTGGCTTGGAGGCCTCTACAGAGCCGGTCTTCTGACGCTCCCCAGTCCCCTCGGACTCGACCGTACAGAAGAGCCGCTTGTTGCCGGCCACACGTCGAAGGTTGCGCAGTTGGTGTACCAAAATCTGACGGTGGCAAGGAGACAGGGCCAAAAAGAGGGGCGGGAAATAGAAAGGGGGATGGTGCGATTTAGGCAGCGGTCCGAATCCGGCTGAGACTTTTGCGGTCGGGCAGTAGGGACGGGACGTGAAAAGATTTTGGGGGGCAACGCGTTAAAAGTGCTGAGCTCACTTGCATGTCGAACGAAAGTGTGAAAGTTGTGAAGCGACTCGAAGGTGGATGCCCCTTTTTATAATACCATTTTCACCTTGGTTGCATCACATGCCCACATCGCATCACAAAAGTGTCCTCTTCGCGTCGACCAATCGAAAAGCGCCATTGTACCGAGACCATATTCGGACATGCCAGATCGGGACCTCTAGAGCCAATAAGAAGCCGACATTTAAACCACGCAATAGATGAATCAGCAAAGACGGCAGATGTGTGTGAATTAAAATGGCATCTTGATTAGCTCTCATGGCAACGTGGGAAAATTCGACTATCAATCCTCCACCATGTGCGATCAAGAGTGACGGGAATTCTTATTTTAAGTAAAAAATTAATTAAATTACCCACCCATATTTTACAAAGTGGCTAAACATTGTGTGTATCCCTTATTCTATCAATTATGTATACGAAGTAATCCATCAACTTCGATGGTCTTTAGTGCCATAACAGAATTGAGGCCATTCTGTTTCATCCAGACCCAACAACCTCTATGGGCACTCGCGAAGGTGCTGACAGATCTCTCCAACATCAGCACGATACTATGGCCACATTATTTTATGGCAGGCTCATTTTATTTGTAAAAGCATCAACTTAACCCATAAAAGTCGACGGAATCGGAGAAAGTGGTACAGCATAAAACAATTTATTTCTACACAAAAAATTCGCGATTTTCTTCAGGCAGCCAATGAT